GGAGTGTGTGTGTGTGTGTGTGTGTGTGTGTGACTGAGATGGTAATATAATTAACAGCCTGATAGACTGTAAATAAGAGCAGAAGTAAAAAAATTCATGAATCAGTGAGTGAGCAGAATGTTCCAGAACCATTGAAGGCAATGAAGGCTTTTTCTACAATATTTTAACAGTTAAAGATAATGATAGTTTCCAAACAGGTTTTCCCAAACACTCCTACTGCCCACTCCACTATGTCTTCAATCTGATATTGTCCACTCAAACACAGCCCCTCCCCAAACTTCATTGGTCGAGAAGCTGAACATCAAATGTCTATTGGCTATTGTATGAGTTTTTATATTTCAGCCAACTCTCACTTTAACTCCACTACATTTCCTAATTAAAATGTATACTTTTACTCTGATACATTTCCCCGAAGCATATTCGTTACTTAACGTTACTACAAAATAAAGTCAGAAGAACACGGACTGCAGGAAAGCAGGTTTGACGAATCAGTGGTCTAGCGCTTGCAAGTTAAGCTGCCTTCACGTGCTATCAGAAATTTTCTATTTCCCACTTATGAAGTCGTGATTACGAGTGTCACACTTACACTGTCGGAAGGACGAGAGAAACGTGGAGTACAATCGATAGTCTTTTAATCATCGAAACACAGGGGTAATCCAATACAGGAACGAGATGCTGACACATGTAAAGACGAAGTAGACCCGACGGGAGAGAAATGCAAAGACAACAGGGGAGAAACGCAAAGACAGGAGCTTAAATGCTAGTGATAATTGGAGAAACACAGGTGGATCACATGACAATCAGCCTAAACGAGGACAGGAAAATGACCAAATAAAGACAAACAAGAACAGAAACAGGGGCAAACCACGATACAGACAGTCCAGAATCCTGACATTACGCCCCCTCCAGGAAGGCACGTCCTGGTGGCATAGAAACTACATGGGGAGGGGCGGGTGGGAACTTGGGAGGCGGCTCAGGAGGAGGACAGACACCCGGGAAGTCCGGAATGGATCTGGCCAGAATCCGTTTCTCGCCAGAATCCACTCCACAAAGGTGGTGAAATCTGCTCGAGGACCATCTTCGGACGACGGCGCTCTGCACGCGGTGTTTAAACTTGCATCGTAGAACCGAACGCACAGAGCGCGTCGTCCGGGTAGCTGGTGGTGTTAGCTAGCAGCTGGGTCTATGGGCCGAGGCGGAGTCCAGGCCTTGGAGGCTGGAGGTGAGGGATTCTCCAGCCATGGCGACGCTGGAGGATGGCAGACCCACGGAGCTCGCACCGTAATGATGGTGGGCTGAGGGCGAGCAGAGGGGCTGCCAGACGACAGTGGTGGAGGAGGTAGGTGGGCTGGGCTCTAAGTCCGGAATGGATCTGGCCAGAATCCGTTTCTCGCCAGAATCCACTCCACAAAGGTGGTGAAATCTGCTCGAGGACCATCTTCGGACGACGGCGCTCTGCACGCGGTGTTTAAACTTGCATCGTAGAACCGAACGCACAGAGCGCGTCGTCCGGGTAGCTGGTGGTGTTAGCTAGCAGCTGGAACAGTCTAGTATGGTCCTCGAGCGATTGCTCCCCCTGCTCCAGCAGGAGGAGGAGGAAATCCGGGCGGACGAGGGGATCCATAAGGGCACACAACAGGAAAAAAAAGACCGGAGGTAACTGTGTAGGTCGGGTCTTCTGTCACACTTACACTGTCAGAAGGACGAGAGAAACGTGGAGTACAAGGGGTAATCAAATACAGGAACGAGATACTTACACATGTAAAGACGAAGTAGACCCAACAGGGGAGAAATGCAAAGACAGGAGCTTAAATGCTAGGGATAATTGGGTAAACACAGGTGGATCACATATGACAATCAGACTAAACGAGGACAGGAAAATGACCAAATAAGGAAAAACAAGAACACAAACAGGGGCAAACCACGATACAGACAGTCCAGAATCCTGACAACAAGCTTGTTGTATTCAAGTGCTTTAATGTCGGAAAGAATAAAATGTAGCATCCCATTGGTTAACTATCATAAACATTCCCCGTGCTGCACATGCAGTTTGCTGACAATTCTGGAATTTCGGGTCAAATACATGCTTATTTCACTGCTTATAAAACATACAATATGCTTCGAATGATCGTTCATATCTAGCCTATAAATACACTACTTTAGCGACAAGGCAAAGGGATGTAGCTGTTGTGAGAACAGCATTGACAGCAGCAATGGTTGTCCCCTCCAGTGTTGCCAAGTCCGCGGTTTTCCAGCGGAATTGGGCTACTTTAACGCTGTTGCCGCGGGTTGTGTTTCATGTCCGCGGGTTGAAGCGACTCCAAAAACATTATATTTATCCCCAGGCATCTGAATTTTAGCAGGGAACCCCGCCAAAAACGTGTATTTTATCCCCGGAACGAGACTTTTAACTGGGGACCCCCTCGAAACGTGATTGGGCTACTTTTGAGTAGCGATTGGGTGGGTTTTCTTGTGAAAACCTGGCAACCCTGGTCCCCTCCACCATGTTTAAAGATTATGACCTGCCCAACTTGGAAACAAATACGCCTTGAGAGGCATTCACGTCTAATTTCCGATTAGGAAACTCGTATTTATGATCATTCCGATAGCACGTGAAGGCAGCATTAGACTCCTAAAAACACAGCTTTGCCATGTGCAAACAAGTGCGCGCACAACTGCGGTCGATTTCATTTTCTAGTCAAAGTCGAGGCTTGGGTGTGCGATATACAGTATATATTCTGCGATAATATGGTAAGTGTTGTTGTAATAATGTGCGATCTGACATTATCGAGTATATCACCAAATCACACACAGAGAGTGCAGGCACGTGATTTAGTCTATTAAAACTCAGAATTCAAGGCATTCTAAATTGTAGATGGCAAAAATGCTTCTGTATGTTTTTTTATGTTTATATAATTTAATATAGTTAACAATCTATATCACAAAGAGTGCCGTTTTTTTCTCCAGATATCAGCATGACAACAAATGTAATAATCATTGTAAGTTTAATAAAGTTAGCATTAAAGTCCGCGTGATCCGGAAGTTGCTACCGACTTTATTTCAGTGTAGTGATGTATTTCCTGCTAAAACGGAATACTGAATAGAGGGCATGGTTTTGTTTTGGCGCTCCTCCTCTCCGTCTCTCACTCATAGCAAACTAACGGTTGGAGTGGTGTGTTTAAGTATATTCTGCCCAAGCCGTCAAACTGACGTCATCAGAGAAGGAATGCCATTCCAGAGCTGTTCAATCTGAATCAAAATGTTCAGATTTTGATTAAAGATTACCGAAACAAAAAAATGTTTTCATCAGATTAACTTGCATGGATTAATTGTTCACATCAAGACTAGCAATGTGAGCTAATAAAGTAAATTATATTAAAATAAAAGTCATGCAGACTTTAAGGGTGTTTTCACACTTGGTTCGATTGCTTGGTCCGACATTATATTATTTGGGTCCGAACCACAGTTCGTTTGCGTCATCAAGCCAGCAGCTGTTTACCCTGTTGCTTAGTAATGATGGCGCAGGAGAAGATGGCAAAATGCGTAGCAAGGCTCTCTTCAATTTTATATTTATGTTTTTGAACCGTTGGTTTTGTTTCCAAAGCTTCAGTACATAATGGCAGTTACGTCTTCCTTACGAATGTACTGCAAATGCTCTAAAGTACTCTGAAGGTGAACAGAAATGAGATATACAGCTCTTTGCTTGCAGCGTGTCAGTCACGCTCGTCAGGAAAGTGAGTGAAACACAAACACACATTTTTATCAAATAATACGTCATTAATAGCGGTTCACTTCCGTGATTTGGTACGATTGCGTTCACATCAGCAGCGAACCGTACCGGAGTTCACTTGAACCATACCCCAGACCACCCTTTTTAAGCGGACTCGGGTACGGTTCGCGGGTGCGCACCCGAGTTCGGAAGACCGCGTTCACATCATCCAAACGTACCGAACTCTGACGTCAATCGAACCCGGGTGCGCACCAAAAGTGCTAGTGTGAAAGCACCCTAAGTGACTTTCATTTTAGACACAACATTGCCTGTTTTTTCTCAATTTTGCCAACGAAAATAGTTCCAAACAAAGATCATAGCACTGTTTTGCGTCTCTGAGCAATGGACGGTGTTTACTTACTTATTGAATGAATCAGCTTTTTGAACGAATCGGTTGAATGAATGATTCAGTGATTCACTCATTAACACAGTCAAACGCTTTGATTCTGAATGAATCAGTCGTTTGAATGAATCGGTTGAATCTCAATGACTCACTCATTAACAGTCACTTGCTGCCACCTACTGGCGGTTTTAATTTCACCACTCATTAACAGTCACTTGCTGCCACCTACTGGCGCTTTTAATTTCACATTTTGACTACTTTTTTTCATGTTTTAAATAGTTTCAAATATCAGTATTCAGCGTTTTGTTTAAAACAAAACATTATTTATGCATCTGTAACTGCAGGTAAATGCATCCAGGTCCCCTCTGAGATACATTAAACTGTGTAAATACATCTAAATGCTATTTCAGATGCAGATTCCAGAAATGTTTTCATATATTGGAATGAAAGACATTATTACTGGTTAAAGTGCTTCTTATTCTTACCCAAAGATACAAAATGGAAGAAAGAGTTCAAACTGAACACAATCTTGCTGCTCAAGCTGTGTATGAACATTTTTATATATATTTATTTGCTTCTTTTCCATTTTGCAATTACTTGTACTTTTACTTTCTATACTTAAGTATGTTTAATATTTAAAAAATACTTTTCATACTTAAGTACAATAAAGATCACATACTTTAAGACTTTTACTCAAGTAATATTCTAAACGGTGGCTTCAACTTCTACCAAAGTCATTTTCTGGTAAGATATCTGTACTTTTACTTGAGTAAACGGGAGCCCCCTCAGGGCTGGACGAGACC